TTCGCCGCGGCCCGGGGCGGCCCCCCCGCCATAAGTGACAGGTTATGATCCATAACTTGACAGATTACACCGGCCACTGACGGGTCTTCGGTCATAACCTGACAGATTACATCGATTGCTGATCTCCAGTCACCGGCATCAGCCATAGTATGATCCATCATGTTATGATACATAATCTGTGGGTAGTTTAGTCTTTTCAATTTGTGAATAAAACATCTCATATAAATGAAAGGGGTAGAATTTTTTGAAAGGGTAAAAAATTAAGAGATTTGGTGATTATGGGGTAAAACATGTAATTCTCTCCAAAATCTATTATTTTATGTTAACCAATAATAAAATGTTATTCTACCAAGTGTCTCTGTTAAAGATATTCTTAGAATCAAATTTATTTTCATTTTCATTCTATTGTACACTAAGTTTATACATAACATTTAGCTTGATTCTGGCATTGTAATAACACTAATTAATTTGGTCACTAAATATTTGATTTACTCAGTGAATATAAAATCGGTCAAGAACTTTAATAAGTAAATATGGAAATGAATCAAAAACATAGCTCCAAAGTAACTAAATCCTATTTTCTTTTAGGGGTGTGAGGAAAAAATCCTCTAGATATAAGTATGACATTGAATTTATTAAGGCTCCAACTACTTTCCTAAACAAGATTGGCCTTTTTAAGATGGAATACTAAAAGTTTGAACCAGATTTCCAATAACAAGTTAGATAAACATAGGCTCATGTTACATCGCCATGGCCAAAAATTCCTACGTGATAAGCAAACTTTTGAGGTGGTTATGCTCTCTCGATGACGTGGTAGAGATCGTTTGGCGCGCCAAGAGGGCGCAAATTTGTCGGAGAATTGTTGGGAGTGCAAACAAATTTATTAGTTAGGCATAAGCATAATATTTGGGTCTATAAAGACTTGGCTACTACTCAAAACAAGGTTAGCCTTTCACAATAGAACCCAGCCTAACAATTTTTAGTCAACAATTAAACCGTTATAACAGAAAAATTGAAGGAATTTCTTTTGCCTTGAAACGCAATAGCTTATTAACTAACAAGTACAAAATAATTTATCGACGGAAGATTAAAGAGGAGATGTCCCGGCGTTATTGATGTGTGTTGGATTGATCACTTAAAAAGCTATACGAAAAGTACAGAAGAAACTCAATGAAGATCCAGATGATCATAAATCATAATCGAAAATCGGTTTATCGTTGATCCAAAAATGGCGGCCGAAACTTCCAAGCTCTACCTCCTAAATAATCTCCATCTTCCTCTTCCCATATGTATGCTACATGCTAACTTTTGACGTGTCCTCTACTTCCTCACTGCTTGGCCTGTTTACAAATTTTACAAGAAGAAGAAATCAGCCAAAATGGCACAAATCTAACCATTACCAACTTCAAACAAAGCTCTAATTTGTTTGCAAGGTAAAATAGTGAGGATTAAATGACTGTGATACTTATTTTTAACTCTTTTTCTCTTTTTGTTTTTTCACTTTACTACCAAAGGGCCAGTTTTAAGAATTTTCGTCCTCATATAAACACAAGTGGTAGGAAGAATGAAATAGTAATAAAGATTGTGTTTTGACCATTTGTGTCACAACTCATAAAGCATTGTGGTCCCAAGATAAACTTTTAAGATTCTTAACTATTTGAATTCAACTCAAATAAGGAGGGTGAAAACTGAAAATGGACCTGCGAATAGAGGAAGGTGCCAAGGATTGCGATGGCGGCTCCAAGGGCATTAACAGGTTGGACAGGCGTATGGAAGATGATGATCGATGAGACGATGACCGATATCCGCTTCATCGTGTTTCCAATACTGAAAGTCAATGGAGATATCTGATCAAGCGACATGTATGAAACCTGATTGTACAAGTGATAGAAACTACTTTGCGCCGCAACCCACCTGCGAAAATCCGAGACCAAACATTTTGTTAATTAGTTCCAAAAATATTCATTCAAAAAAGGGAATGAAAAAAAAAAAAGAAAAAAGGAAGGAGAGTTTTGGCATTTGGCATGGTAAAGTGTTTACCAAACGAAGTGGGGACCAATCTGCGCGAGAGCTTTGTTCCAGCCAGCAGCCCACACCTTGGGGCCCTCCACGGCGATGGCGAAAGGCGTGAGAATCAATAGAGACAACATCGACAGGCAAGCGTAGTAGTTCATCCCGCTAACGGATTTCCCTTTCATCCCTTTCTTTGAGAAGATGTTCCGAAACACAAACGCCATGTTTGAGATCATGGCCCCCATAAAGCCTACAGGGAAATATTTAATTAGTAACATCACTAAAAAGTACTAACAACATCCATCACATAAATATATATTTATATATATCATAATAATCTGAGCAAATTCCTCACTTACCAATCATGTTGAAGTTGAGCTCGGTCACGGCAGCTAGTGCGCAGCCGCCGATGATGGGCAAGAGCGACATGTAAACCGGCGCGGGAAACATCTCGCCTAGTAGAAACCTTGAGACTAACACACTGAATGCAGGCTCACCACTCTTGATGATGTGCGTGAAGGAAACCGCAACTTTAGACATACTGACGGTCGCCGCAACGTGCCCAATTGTGTGTGCCACAGCCACCTAAATGCATACCGAAAACGATATATAGCAAATTAGCAAAAAAACAGAATCACAGAAACAGAGCACTGTTTTGCGAACCAAAAATACACACACACGCACACACACACTCTCTCTACTAAACCGCAACATATTCATGTACTTGTCAAAATGTTACCCCCCAAAAAAAAAATGAACAACATTCAATTCTCTTTCTATTCGCATTTCATCTTACCGGGAAAAGGGTCTTCCAGAAATCCAAATCGGTTTTCGGGGGATCTGCGATTCTGGTGGCCCAGGAAACGAGCATCATGAGAGACCCGGCGGCTAAGGAGAGCGTAGAGGTGAGCCACGGGTAAGGAAAAGCATTCAAAACCTTCTTGTTGTATATGTTGAAGACCACATTGAGAGCCCACCAAGTTGCAAAATACATGCCAATCTTGATCCTCTGAGCAGACTCAAACCGAGCCTGCTCGTCGGGCAATTCGATGTTGATCTCCAAGGGCCGTGACCGGTCGGCCTCGTAGGCCTTGCACTCGGTCACGCGCTTCTTCTGGTCATTGGCCACCTGCGAGAAAGTCTTGATGGAAGAAATATAAAGGGGTTTGTTGGAGTTGAAATTTTGTTGGGCATTCTGAATTATGGGCAGCGGATTAAACTTGGACTTATTACTAGGAAGTGAACATTTTCTGTTCAAGAATTCTGAGGTAGTGAATGAAGAAGCTGTGAGCTTCACCGAAGAGATCATTGTGCTTGTTTTGCTTAAAAGAAAAAAAAAAATGTGAGAAAAATTGTAGGGTCAAAAGGAGAAAATTTTGTTTTGTGGGGAGGAAAGTTTGGAACGGCTTTTTCCCAAGGAAGAGGTTTAGAGGGGTTGAGAGGGGGAGAGGGGTTTATATATGGGTTGGAGAGTAGGCCGAAAAGCATGTGCCGTGTGACAGTTTAATAATTAAAATTTTTTGTTATAATTACAAAAATCTCCCTTTTTTGTCTTGTTTGATGATGTTATGCTGGCGTGATTCCATGGCGAAATGAAAATCTAATATATATATATAAGGCAAGAGATCTCTTGCAATTCGCAGCGAAATAGGTGATTGGTCAGGGAAATTGTCTTAGCGGTTTTTATTTTTTTTTTATTTTTATTTTTTTTTTATATACTTTTAGCTAGCAGAAAACTGGGCAAGGTCAAATTATTTTAGAATCTTAAAAAAAAAAAAAATCATACGATAATTATAGTATGGGCATGTTTACTTTTTAAAGAGAATAGAAAAATAATAAGTGATTCTTTTTATTATCTAATATTATGTTACTTATAAATTTAATTATGAAAATTTAATAGGCTCAACACAATATAAGAAATAAAGAAATAGAATACTGAATATGAATTTTTATACTTTTTTTAGTATTGATTCTTTGTCAAAAATAATGAATATACTTATTTATTCTTAATGAATTATTGTAGATTTAATGATTATTTAATTATATAAAAAGACATTTTAGTAATTACAATAATAACATTACTATTCTTAATTTTAGTAAACATAAAAAAGAGAATACGGTTGTTTTCTATTATACCCTTTAATACTCAAATAAACATATAAAAGAAAATAAATGACTATTAATTTTATTATTTTACCTTTTATTCCAATCTCATTACCTTTTCCATTACCTTCATTTATGGTTTGGTAAATACGTTCAAGTGTATAAATTGATATCATATAAAAATATGATAATAAATAAAAGTGGAGTACCATTTGAATCTATGTGAAATGAATATGCTTATCAAAATTAGATTATGCCAATAATTGTTATTCTTTGAAACTAAATAGTTGTTATTGGTGGAATTTTTTTCAATCCGAGAATTCATTCCCCAGCATGTTTACTTACCAGGATTGAAGAATGGGAGTGGAAAATGAGAGTCAATCTCATGTTTACTTGCTCTTTTTTATCCTAGAATGGGAGTGAGATTGGTGGACCCCACTCAAATTTGGGATTGAGGAATGAGATTGGCACTCCCATGCCCCCTCTTGGGATTGAGACTCCCATTCCTAATATTAATATTAATTTACTATTATACATTTATTTTACTTATAAATACACAATTAAAAATAAAATTCAAAAAATAATAAATGCAACATATATTTATTATTTTATTTGCCTAATATTATAATATTAGCATAATTATTGTTAATTTTAATATAATAAATATGTACTTTATTTTTAATAAATTAATAATATATTTTATTTTTTAACACTATTTTTATTTATTATTTATTTTATTTCAAATTTATTTTTATATTTTAAATAGTTGTACAATTTATATTTATTATTTTAGTACCCAATTATTACACAAAATATTTTAATTATGATTAATTTTAATATAATAACTACACTATATTTTTTAAATTGAAAATATCAAATTGATTTAAAGGGTATATTAGTACTTTTACACTTTTTCATTTCGATTCTGGGTGTAAGTAAACGCATGAATGAGATTTAGAATGACTCCGATTCTGAATCTTATCACTAAGTAAACAGCTTATTTTGACTCTGATTCCTCACTCCGAATCATACTCACTCTGAATCCTGCTCACTCCGATTCATGCTCATTTCGATTACATGTAGATAAACATACCATTAATATAACAAGAATGTTATTGGTGGAATTATCCATTTCCCTTTAAAATAACAAGAAATCTTATTTCAATATTAAAGAAAAGAATTGTTATTTCCCTAAGACAAATGCAATACAAGATTTTGTGAAAATCTGTTCTTTATTCTTCTAAATATTTTGCTGATAAAGTTTTGAATACCTCACGATCTCATAATTTCGGCCAATTTAAATTAGAATATAGAAACTTAACTTTAATCGTAATCTCTCAAAAAAAAAAATTTTGATTTTTTTTTTCATACATATATGATATATATATATATATATGTATTTTTATGCGTTCCGTGTTGCTTGCCTATAGAAACATCTCCGTTGATTCTTCCTTCCTTCCTTTCAGGTGCACCCAAAAAAATCTCAGCCATCATATTAAACTGTTGAAAGTTCCCAGCCACTACCAAAATTCCCAAAAGAAAAAAAAAAAAGGATTGAGAGAAAAAATCAGTAAAAATCTAAGAACTTATTTATTTATTGTGTTTAAACTTATAATTTTAATTTTATTATAATATTTTTTTTTAAAAATAATTTAAATTTTAAATATTAAAATTAAAAATTATTAATTTAAACGTATGAATTAAATGAGCTTTAAAACTGTCCATGTCTTCACCAATGAATATGTTTTCACCAACTTCATTAAGTACTCCTATTCAAGCCCTCCAAAATTGATGTAACCACATTATCAAAAAAAAAAGAAAAAAGAAAAAAAAAATTGATGTCACCACACATAAAACATGCCATTTTAGCTGTCGCCAATTCCACACCGCAAAACTCTCCAACACAAGTCCCCCAGTCGCAACACAAAACGACAACAACTTGAGTTGAATGATTGATTGATTCAATTCAAAGCAAAAAAAAAAAAGAAAAGAAAATCTCTCTGAGGAAGACACGCTCTACTTGTTCCGGTCCGTTTGTTGCGAGTCATGCACTCATTATAATTAGAAGGCTAAATTGAAAAGGTAACGTTTAGTTTATAAATTTTATTAAAATATAAAATTATTATTGGTCTATTTCTTAACAGTTTAAAGTTTTAAAATAGATTGGTAAACTAATATGGTATTAGAATGGGAAGTTCTGAGTTTAAACTCCCATAATTATACTCTTTATTCCTATTTAAAATTATCATGTGTTAGGTCTTTAATATATCTCGGGCTTAAATATTCACGTGTTGGCCTATTGTTCAGCCCACATGTGAGGAGGAGTATTAAAATATAAAATTATTGTTGGCCCACCTCCTAACAGATTAAGCTTTTGGGATGGATTGGTAAACTAGCAAATTTAAAATCATAATTTAAAATTATTATTAATTTATTTGTATTTTTTGGAGAAAAAATACTATAACGAATTATGAATTATGATACGGATCTTTATTTTAAATGCATGCTAAATATGATCATTTCACCATAAATCTCATTTTTGTAATTGGTTCTGGTTTGACGCTGGTTTCCAATGTTTCTTTTCTTTGGCTTCAAAACATCCGCGTAATTTCGCCCTCAATTGTTTCATATTGGACGGCTCAAAATTGCCTCATGGAAAAAGTAAGTATTGACGGCTGGTATGCAAGTTACACATGCATGTTGATGTTGTGTTGCCCACTTGGGAGTGATAGTAACGGTGAATTTGTTTCCTTTTGGGATCGATGCCTATACTTTTTTTTTTTCCCAAAGAAAAAAATTTAAAACAAGGAGATGAGCGTTAGCATATCATTCTGAAAATTATACCAAAGAACCCCTATAGATATTGAGAGAAATGATCTCTAAGGCTCTATAGACATGTCCTAGCCCTCCAATAAAAATCGTATTATCCCTCGGTGCTTATGATAAGAGTATATGAGAGAGTGGTTTATACACTCTAAATTGAATATTAGGCTGGCAAGAAATTAAACAAGTTTTCATATTGAATATTTATAGTTCAATATTTAAACACGTGACTATAAGCCCATCACAGTACTCCATTACCGTTAAGTTACCTCATGCGGTGGTAGATGGATGCCTATACTAGGATGAACTTTTCTGCACCCAATTGAAATTGCAATTTCCGTGGTTAGGCACGTGTTTTGTGCAGTGAGTCACGTGCATGATAGTCGCAGCTTGAGGGGGTCATGATTCTAGCAAGGGTCGTATTCAGAAGTTAGGTGGGGACTGGGGTGCATGTGTACATGGTTTCTTAAGTTGAGGGTCGCGACTCTTGCGCATTTGCAAGTAGTAGACTACTAGTTGGCCTTTGGGTCTTCTGTTTAGGTGTACAAAACTCGGCTAACGTTCGCATCAACAAATTTATCAAAAAAAAAAAAAAAAAAAAAAAAAAACCTACAAAGTGGTATACGTATAATTTCATTTTTTTCAATCCTATATGCTGATTCTTAACTCTTAACAAGAATTTTCAACTTGGTTCATAAGCTTTAAAATCAAGAGTGAAGTCTCGAAACTTGCTAAAAGGTTTCTCGTTATCCATCCTTACATTTTCATTGAATTTGGGGAAAACGGTCGTATTGATTTCTATACTAGCTAGTTTCGCATGTACTCAAGAATATAGCTAGTTAGGCTCAGTTTGGTATTGATTTTTAGAGGGCAAAAGCAATTTTTTAGGCAACCACAGCAGTCAATAGTGTTTGGTAAAATACATTAAAATTGATTTTAGAAAAATTTAAGGCTAATTTAAATCTAAAATTAGGGGTGACAATTCGTGTCATGTGTCGTGTTCGTGTCGTGTTTTGATCGTTTTTTTAAAATTTTCAGTCAACCCGAACACGACCCGTGACACGAAATTTTTTAAAGACCGCAACACGAACACGACACGACCACTTTACGAGCTGACACGACACGACCCGAAAATGACCCGTGACACGAAATTGAACTGCGAACCCGAAATTGACACGAAAATTGTATACTTTTATTTAGTTTTTTACATATTAGAAATAACTTAAAATTCATAACACACTAAATTACAATAACATCCATTGAAATTAAGCAAATAATAGTATAAGATTTTGAGTATAACTATCATGATATCACAAGTTCATAATAAAATTTAAAATATGAAATGAAAAATATATGTATTTTTTAGTTTTTTACGAGTTTCGTGTCGTGTTCGGGTTAGGCGGGTCCAACCCGAAATTGACCCGTATTTTTCGTGTCAATTTCAGGTCGACCCAATTCTGACCCGAACCTCTTTTTTCTCAACCCT